AATCATGGTGGAAATAGCAATTTTTCATGGTGGAAATAGGTGATCAGCACTGGTGGATGCTGAAATAAATCATGTGATCAGTTAGCTAAATAACAAAAATAGTTCTTTTTTCAATTTAAATTATTCATAACGATAAAATCTCATGATCTTTTGAGATTTAAAAATTTTTTCGAATAATTCAAATTATCTGAACTAAAAAAAAAAAAAAATGTAAAAAAAAAACACATTATAATCCGCCTTTTTATCAGTATAAAGTTAATAACATGATAATATATATGAACCTTAAAGTTTTTTACAATATGTTATTAAAACACCTCTGAAGCGAAAAAATTTGTATAAAAAATTTTTTAGTCAACATTTTTTAAAAACAAGCATATCTTACATAACGATAATATATCGTTTTTGATTTAATACCTGACGCATATAATTTAAGAAACTATTAAGATCATAAGGCACGCAAGTTGACATCACCATTATTAAATTTTTAATCAAAGAAACTCAATTTATTATAAGATGCGATCATAGTCAAATTGTAATAAATATAAATAATCCACTAGAATTCTTTTTATTTTTTATTTCATCTTTTTTTCAAAAAATCGATTTATTTTTTAAAAAAAATAATAATAATATTTGAAACTGTTGAGAATAAAGAAGAAATTATAAAAGCCTCAATCAATTTAATTTGGAAAGCATCAGGTAGAGAAGTTACTACAGTTACTTTCAGTGACCCACTACGATCAGCAAAAATTGCTTTTGATAATGGCACTAATATTACTGTAAATTTGGATCTGCCAGGTGTAGTTATTATAAAAGAAGAAACTTTTAGAAAGATTATAACTGAATTTTCTGAAAAAGATCCTGTTATAATTGATGAAAAAGTGAGTATGGGTAAAGGTTTTTATAATTAATAATGTTTTAGATACTAACAAAACAAAAACTTAGGGAATTCAAGATAGTGATGAATCTGAAGAAACGGATGAACTAATACATGATGTTCAAATCAACGAAAATGATATATTAAATTCGGATCATGAAAATACGAATAGTATCGGTTATAAAACTATTGCAAAAACAGTCCAACAAACAGAGCTTCAACAGATAAATAACTTTTTTAAAAGTTCGAAAAGAATTGAGAAAGATCAAGTGAGGAGAAATTTCTGCTTCAGTTATTAATTGCCAAATTTGGTCTTTATTTCTAAATATTTTTTTTTTTACTAAATTAATCTAAAGCATAAAAATAACAACCATTCTAATGAGAACCAGGTAACAAAGGTTTAAATTATATTTAAATTATAAACATAATTTAACATTATTGACAAACACAAACTTTAGCAAAGAGAAAACATGCCTGAAAATATCGAGGAAACAGATGAATCTCTGATCAGTAATCTGCAGTCGGTCAATGTAATTGGACAAATGGCAAAAAATACCACACAAGCCGATATCATTGATTCTAATCAAGATAATAATAACTATGTAAGAATTTTCAACTAGTTAATAATAAATTTCAAAAAAACAAAAATCAACATAAATTATTGCCGCATTATAAATTTAACAGGAAAAAGACCTTGATGTAAGTGATGATAGTTCTCTAAGATAGTCAGAATGTGAAGATTGCTATGGTCCTAAAAATGAATATTGTAAATCTTGTAGTTGCTCTGTATACGAATGGAAAGATAATAGAGGCCACATCCTCTTATGCGATGGTCACATGATTTATTTCAGCATCCACCAGTGCTGATCACCTATTTCCACCATGAAAAATTGCTATTTCCACCATGATT